GCCATTTTGCGCACGTAAAAGCTCGATTGCGTGGTCAAAATGGTCAATGGTCAGCTGGAAAGCGGCTAATAAATAACTATGGTGGCGCGGCGTGGCGCTGATTCCAGTCCAAACATGGAAATGCCGAAAATGACAACGCCGCGTAGGTATATATTAGGCCTGTTTCTGCAGAAATCACAATCCAGTCAGAGCGAATTTTATTGGTTGAAAACAGTCAGAATACTAGTTTCAACCAATGAAATTCACTCTGACTGGTTTGTGATTTCTGCAGAAACAGACCTATTTTTTCGTGGTCCCCGCCCAGCTCTTGTTCGAGTCGAGGATTCGGAATCCGGGCCGTTTTAGAACTGTCAGGGAGCCGATTCTCGGGCCTTGGAGGAGAGCTCCCAAAGAGAACAAATTTTTCGTCTTTATCATTTTGGACGGTTCTGGATTCAGAGGGAGGGGATTTGTTACACACAGGCCTTATGAGGATAGGCCATCCTGTAGTAGTAGTGTGTATCATCCTTGGAATTTGGCTACGTTTCAATATCGAGTAGGAACTTTTTTGTGGACCCAGAGCAAGTCGAAGTATTCATATTAGCTTTGTGATATTACACTCGTCTTAAAAACCAAAAAAAAAAAAAAAACAATACAAGCTGAAACCAGTAAGTAATACAAGTTTTATTGCACTGTTCCGGAACTATTCTAGGATTAAATAGGTATCGGTTGGAACCATCGAGCTTTGGAACGGTTTCAGGGATCTCAAATTTCAGGAGGGTTTTTTCAACATTAGCTGTATTACTTTCAAGAGTTTGAAACACTAGAGCTACTCGCTCCGGTGTCAGTCGCCCCGATTTGAAAGGAACAGATGCGCTGGCTTTCATGCATTTAAATGGTTTACATCGGGCTTGAGTACTCAGATGCAACAAACACTTTTCGAAAGAAATAAGGGCGTAACGCCCCGGAGCTGTTCCGGAGTTCCTCATAGGTGTGAAAGGAATACAACTATTTCCGTTTTGCCTGGCAAGTTTTAACTCCCTGTTTGTTTGGCCGGTGGTGTGTCTCCAGAAACTGGAAATAGTTCCCGGTTCTTGGCGAGTAACGAAATAACTGACCCGAAACCGTTTAAAAGTGTAACAAAATTGGTTGGAACGCAAATAGGTTGTTCATTTCTACTTGTCCCACTTGCTCGAAAAATCAGAAAGATCTGCTGAAGCTGGTATATAAGAGCTTATATAAAGGGAAAAGTGAAAGCCGATCTGCTGCTGGGATCTGCTTGAAGCAAAAAACACCCCTTATGAGAATCGATTGGTTGGAAGGCTTGGTAACATGCGCATGATGATCTCGGTGAATTTGGAACTTATCTGACTATTGTATTATGATGGTTCTTTTTATCGAAATTTGAAAAGTGACAGTGGAAATTACGTGAAAAATTTGCGAACCCTCGATCTTTTCTGGCGATTTACTTAAAAAGTTGAGGTTATGATATGTAATATGTAGCGATTCATAAAAAAAACTTAAGACTTATCAACTAAGAATTTAAACTAAGTGTTAAATGAAATGCATCCTGCTCATAGCTGCTTTCCAGTATGCACATTGGCGCGCTCTAGAGCACCCCGGGAGCGCCACGCAACTAGATTTGTACCGTTCCAGTATCATGACGTGACCGTTTGTCCGTACGTATAGCTCGAGGGCCTAACGCTCTGAGTAGCTCCGAGCGTCACACTCCCATACTTGGAAAGCGGCTCATGTGTAGGCGACGTCAGCTGTTCATGCCAATTTGTGGTTTATGGTGTATTCCGTTTCCAAACGGTTACGGTTACACGTTCCGAAATGTCTTGTGTCTCGATCTACTCTATACCGACCGCCGTTCAATGGTCAAACAAGTCACCGAGGCACAGAGGTTATTCTAAGGTTTTTTTTCCAGTGCACATATAGGAAATAGATCACCGTATGCGTATGTATTACCATGATATGTATTACTAAGGGCGGGTATTACAAAACTGCTTTGACAGTTAACTTGAAGTTAACCTTTTGAATTATATGTAATTCCAGAAGTTAACTTTAAGTTAACTCTCAAAGAAGTTTTATAATACCCGCCCTAACACACATTCACATGGCCGTGTTCGTTTTTGTCATCTTTTTCATCGATTTGCTCCGAAATTTTGACAGGCACATTACTTGAGCAGAGAGTTTTAATTTACAAATCACGTGCCTGTCAAATTTTCGGAGCAAATCGACGAAAAAGATGATAAACGCGGCTATAATATATGCTTTCTGCGAATAACAAGAAATGTCATCATTTTTGATGACCGGTTGACAGGTCACAAAACTCGAAATTCTGGTATTTTTAATGGTTGGTAAGGAATCGATGCATAGTGGATAGGTAACAGTACAGGAATCACTTTCCCCCTAGGCCGTAAAAGTAATTACTAAGGAAGGAATGGATAACAGTACAAGAAACACTTTTCCGGCCTAGGCCGGGAAAGTGTGCTGATCCAGCAACATCACAAAAGAGGAATGCTTCTCTTTTTTTTTTATTTCTTAGCGACAGCAGAAAAAATAATATGTGTATTTCAGAGGAAAAGTACATTCTCGGCCTTCGGTGTTTGCGGCCTCGCGCGTCAACTTACACCGTCGGCCGAGAATGTGTCACTTTTCCACCTAAATACACAATATACTATTTTCTATTCTGGTTTCATAATAACTCATGAAACGCGCCTGATATTACATTATTAGGAGTGTTATAAAAGCAGTGGCGGCTAGTGACATTCTAGATTCGTCGTGAACTCTTCAAAAGAATGAGCCGCACTAAAATTTTTTGGGGGTGCCACGCCATTTTTTACATTTATCACGAGATGCCTTATCTGTCATCTGCCAGAGTGGGATCCTCGACAAGCCACTATGGTTTGGTTAAATGAGCGTCAGCACAGAGTCATAAAGAAACAGCATACGCCAATCAGCAAAGATATTTTTGCTGAGGCCAATGCGGATGAGGTAAATGGAGAATTTTAGGTAGTGCTGGGGGAAAATTAGCAATAAATTTTAGAATAAATGTAATGTATCGATAGTGCTATTGTATTTTCATACATATGTAGCATATATTATGTCAACTAAATTATTTGTTCGTAATAGGTATGTACATTGAAAAAAAAAAACTGCACAGATTTTAATTTTCCACTGCACAATTTACTTTTCCTACTGCACATTTTGTGGCCAACTGCACGTTAGAATAACCTCTGCCGAGGCAACCGGCAATCGCTGAGCAGTTTTTCGGTAACTGTCATTCTATCTCTTTCCTTTCTACTTGAGCTGTTTTCTCGCGGTGGAACTGGTTCGATCCGGTTCAATTAGGATCGAACCTGTACATTCTTGCGTTGAACCAGTGACGTCACATTGAACCTAGTTCAAAAAAGTTCGAACCGGACTCATGGCTTTTTTCTCCGTTGACATAAGATTGTGGTTTAAAGCCAAGGATAATACACAATACTAAGGATTGCTTATCGGCCTCGTTTTTGTTAATCGCCTCCATATTGTTGTGTCACCATTTCCGACGTCATAACTCGTCGTCAGCTGTTTACACTACGGGTCGTAGTTTAGAATTTAAATTTATGAAGAAAATTATTATTCAATTTTGATTAACATAATAGGCAAAGAGAAAGATGAAAACGAGATCTATAAAGGAGCTGTTTAAGAATTGTAATTGTTGTACAGCCTACCTATAGGCGAGAATGTACATGTTGCGACGTCACAACTGGTGATTTGGAGCGGCGGGGGGCTCTAGATTTGTTCCACATAGGCGCACCGGCCTTATGAGGATAGGCTATCCTGTAGTAGTAATGTGTATTATCCTTGGTTTTAACCGTAGTTGGAAAAACAGTGACTCAATAAACCTTCACAAACAGTGGCGGTGGCGACAATAAAGGTCCCGCCGCCATTTTGTGCCCCACCTCTTGCTATATTTAAATATGAATATATAGGATTTAAACTCAATGATTTAAATTCAAATCCATCACAAAAAATTGAAAACAACGTATTTGATGACTATTCTATATTATTATAAGTACATAAAATACGTTGTTTTCAATTTTTTATCATGGATGTCCATTTAAATCCTATACATTCATATTTAAAAGTAACAAGAGGTTAGGCACAAAATGGCGGCAGGACCTCTATTGTCGCCACTGTATGTAAAGGTTTATTTAGTCACTGTAGTATTAGGTATATTAAACACGTTGTTTTCCATGTTTTATGCTAGATGTTCACCAATCCTATAGATTCATATTTGAAATTTGAAATGGCGGCGTTTTCAATATAAATATATAGGATTTTAGAACCAATCAAAAATAGTTGTATTTCTTTCAAGAGTTTGAAACACTCGAGCTACTCGCTCCGGTGTTTAGTCGCCCCCGATTTGCAGGGAAAAGATGCGTGGTGCAACAAACACTTTTCGAAAGGAATAAGCGCGTGAAGCCCTGGAGCTGTTCCGGAGCTCCTCCTAGGTGTGAAAGGACTACAACTATAGAGACGGCAATAATTTTCGCCACTGTGGTAATAGAGCCACTGTATTTGAACAAGTCACTGTAGTTCGAACCGTTCGCCCTGCGAGAAAACGCCTTTCCTTGCGTTCGGAATTTTGCTCAAAGAGCAGAGCGTGCTGAGCGGAGCTGTAATCACGTGACCAGCGAGGGAACAGAGCAATTGAACGCTGTATCAGAGTGCCTGAAATTTTAATAAACGAACGCGAATGAGCATGCCCGAGTACACTTTTTAAATAAACGAACGGTAAATTCAAGCTCGGAGAACTCAGATCAAAGTACCGAACGCACGGTTTGATTCAACTCCACTATGTCAAAGTCACTTCTTCGTCGTCGACTCGTCTTCGATTGGAAAAGCCTTCCGCGTATAAACAAAAATTTCCAGCAACCACTGTTGACCGATGTTGTACCGATAGGTTAACCAGGTTCCGGAACGGAACCTACCCCAAGGATATTTGTGGCTGTCAGCTGTCAGGAGCTGTCCACTCATCATAATCCTAAAAACTCTGAAAAGTGGGTGGATTTTTTGAGGTGAGTTCAATTTTTTTTTTTTTAACTATTTTTTCTATTTACTCTATTCTGAAGTCTTGAGGGTAATATGCTAGAGGCACCGAATAGATTTTTCAAGTATTTTCAACATCCCAAAACCAATATCGACGTTTTTGTCGTCAGCATTCTGTTGTAAATTTCTCTATTTCTTTACTTTCTATTGTCCTTCCAGTGCTTGTAAATTGACTGCCAATCAATCCCCAATCAGCACAATGATTGGGGGCCTGTTTGTGTATAACCACAAAGGCGAAGTCCTTATATCTCGAGTCTACCGTGACGACATTGGCAGAAATGCAGTGGATGCCTTTCGAGTGAATGTTATCCATGCAAGACAGCAAGTGAGGTCGCCAGTTACTAATATAGCCAGAACTTCTTTTTTCCATATCAAGGTAAGAATTATATAAAGATTACCCAAAATTTGCATCTACAATTTTATGTCATGTACCTCCGAGTGTAGGTATAGTTTAAATGAAGTCAATCCAAACAGCATTAAAAGGAAGAGGCTGTCTAGGAATGTTTAGTTGGGGTTGGGCAAGAAAATATTCATACGGGGTCTAGTCATCACAAAATTGGGTCATCTTCATCGGGATATATTGGTAAATTAGGTAGTCCCTGAACACAGTGGTTACTCTTGAGTCTTGGGTTTAGGTAGCTGATGATGTAGGTATAATGGATAATTGTATTGCATAATAACTGGTAATTCACAGCAAAAAAAAAATAGGTTTGAGATTATAGTACGCTTAATTTTGACGGAACAAGTGGCAGTTTTGTCATCTGATGGTCTTTAAATTATTCAGAATCGGGAATTATATCTATCAATTAAGTAAGTATTGTCAGAAAATCAAAAGAAAACTAGAGTGTGTGTATTTCATGCAAAAAATTTTGAATGCTACCAGAAGTAGAGTGCTTTCGCCCTTAGGCCGCATCATCAGTGTTTCCTGAGACAAATTATAGAATCCGCGGCCCAAGATCCAAAAACAAATAAGCAAACATTTTAAAGCATAAAATTAGCACTAAGCCCTCGACTAAGCTATTCTCAATTTGCAACCATCATTTTGATTGCTATTTTGTTCCTAGAACAAGACAAATGTGTAAGTAAGTAAATAGTCAATATGTATATAAACACAGTACCACAAGTAAGTGAAATGTCTAAAATATATCTCATTCTCATAACCTTCAACAGGAGTGGTTAGAAATCATAAGAGATCTAAACCAGAACCTCGAACAGAACTCAGAACCTGTACATAGGGTTGGCAAATGATCGGTCAAATATCTTTCGTTCAATTGACCTAGTATTTGACCGGTCATTTTTCAAATTGCTCCGGTCAAATACTCCAGTAGTGGAGAGTGTGATGCCATGACAGTAGCATTATTGCCATCATTTATTCCTGGTCTAGCCGCCAGGTATAACATAACAAGGGCAAATACTCAAAGAAAGACATAGAGATAGACAAGATTTTTAATTGTTTATTTTGAAATATTTACCTGAAACTCCTAAAAGTTACATTTTCAAGGCCGGTTTATTCACCTTCTGATAAACTGTCAGGTATGCAATCTAGATAAAAACACAATCTGTAATCCCATTGGTCGGCAAGTTATCCGCTGAACAATAGAATTATAGAACAGTACATTTATCAAGCATCAGATACTTAGCAGCAAGCTTATCTGATGATAAACCAAGCCTTAGTGGTTTTGTTTTTGTTTTCATAAAAAAAAGGGTTGATTTTGTCCTTTTTATCAAAGGAAAGAAGTTTTGTTTGTTGCAGTTTCTAGAAAAAAATTTTGCTTTATTTTTTATACAATAAACTACTGCTTTTGCACATAATTTGTTTTATATTGGTCGAATATTCCAGCATTGGTCAAATTGACCGTCAATTGACAACTTTTGACTGGTCAATTGACCGAGGTGCCATCCCTACCTGTACATGATGAGATTACAGTTAGAGATATACATAATCTTAGCGAGTATAATCTACCAATTTTAATATGTTTGAACTTGAACAAAACTTTCCAAAGTGAAAATTTTCCACAAGAGAGCTGAAGATAAGTGAAATTACTCCACTTTAAGTCAGGGGATAAAAAATGCATGTAAATGTACAGACCTATTTCAGTATAGAGTGTATTGTCTGAGATTATAGAACAATTGATAAAGAAAAGATTCTTAACATTTATTAATACACGTACAGTGTGCGCCATAAAGTTGGGTACATATGGGAAAATTCATAATTATTCCTTTTTTCAAAAATTTTTTTTTGGGGATCGTTAGGGAATTTTGAAAAAAGTTGATATTGATGTCGAAAAACGGGTAAATTTGGCAAGATATCAGAAAATTTTGTGAGAAAAAGTACTCCATATGCCGATTTTGAAGCAAATCAGAGAAAAAAAAATAAAACTACTTATTTTACCCATACCATCAAATGGAAAATCAAAAATATTAATTTTATTTCAAAAATAGCTTTATTCAACTAAACTACATAAGTTTGATATCAAATGAAGCGATTGTTTTGCGAAATACACACTTGAAGGTTATAAATTAGAAAATACCGTCCGGTGGAGCCGCTATAACTGTACCCATGTCCCTTTTTGCACATTTTCTGGTCATCAGAAAAATAACATGACATGTGTCATAATCGATTTTTTGGTTATCGAACATGCCCTAACGATCCCCAAAAAAAGTTTTTTGAAAAAAGGAATAATAAAGAATTTTCCCATATGTACCCAAATTTATGGTGCACGCTGTATATAAAGTTAGCAGTGCAAAGTCAGCAGTGCAAAATTTTTATGACTGGAAAAGTTAGTGCTATTTAATTTCCAATTTGAATGAACTACATTTTGGCTACTGAGCCCATAATTAAATAATATTTTAAGAATTTTGTTTTGCAATATTTGTGCTTTATGAGAATCTGCATCCCCAGGCAGGCAAGAGATACCTAAAATGGGTCAAGAAAAAAAGAATATAAACCTGAAATTTACTTTTCATAGGCAAATAATCTTTTCTTTTGTACAAAGCGGATATCATGGAAACAATATTTCCAGAGTTTTTGGTTAAGTGTGAAGACCAGTTCAAATTTTCATCCACAGTTAATCAAAAATATTTTATACATAATACTCTCTGTATAAATGCACTGTTAATATTTATATGAACATCATTAAATTTATTTTTCTGCTTAAATACAATATATTTGGTAGGTGGTAGACGCTTTTTACTCATTGGGCGTCGACTGGTGAGATACCACCATGCCAGAATTGAGTAGCGCTAAGTGGTATCACTACGTTCCGCTACTGCGCTGGCAGTCCGGTTCCAACAATGAGTAACAGATAGCATGATGGCGCCTCCAGGATCAAAATATTCCGGAGGTAAAATACCCGACCACTCGGATCTCCGGGCGTCGGGTGATCCTGGGGGTCCTTCATGCAAAGATATAAAGAGAGAAGATCAAAAACTCAACTCAGAATTGATTTTAGCAATATAAGAGGAATAAGTACAAATATGAATTCAGTTCACCAACATCTTGAAGAACAAAGACCTGACATCCTTGTTCTCACTGAAACTAAAATCAGTTCTGCAACACCTACTGTGAACTATCTTTATCCCGGCTATGACCTACACCACCGATTTCGACATAATTTTGGGATCTGTGTGTACATTAAAAATGACCTTTCATGTCATCGAGAGGAGAAGCTAGAACCAGCGAACCTTGATATCATATGGCTAAAATTCACCTCAAAGTCATCGACCAAGTTTATCTGCTGCCTCTACCGACCGCCAAGTAACACCGATTACCAAAACTTTTTCGCGACATTATCCGAAAGCTGTGATAGTATACAGTCAAACTATCCACAGGCGGAAATTGTCTTTTTAGGCGATTTCAACGTCCACAATATACCCTGGCTGAAACACCACAACAAAACAGATAACGAAGGCAGAGAAGCAGAAGCTTTTGCCATAAGTTGTGGTTTAACGCAGCTTGTCGATGAACCTACCCGTATCTCAGAAAGGGGCGAATTTGCAGCGCTTTTAGACTTGTTCCTAACCACCAATCCTGACTCGTACACAATTCAAGTAGATGCTCCACTTGGTTCGTCCGATCATAAACTTATAATAACAAAGTGCGAAATGCTCATCCCACCAAGCCTACAACCACTTCCTCGTAAAATGTGGCACTATAAATCGGCAAAATGGAATGACCTAAAACAGTATTACCTGGATTTTCCATGGCAAGAGGTTTGCTTTAAAACAGCTGATCCCACTATTTGCTGTAATGAAATAACACAAGTAATCTTATCTGGAATGGACGCATATATCCCACATACAACTAAACGTAGAGCTAATGCAAAACCTTGGTTCAACAGCCAGTGTCAAACTGCTGTACAGAAAAAACACAGAGCATATAACCTTTGGAAACGACAACAAACCGCTCAAAACCACACAGAATTTATAGAAGCCAGAAATAGTTGCAAAATTACTATTGACTCCGCTAAAGAAACATACAATCAAAGAATAAAAAACAGGTTGCTGAATTGTCCAAGTAGTTCTAGGTCTTTTTGGTCTCTTGCAAAAGCTGTTGGATCTAACTTCACCAAGTCATCCATACCACCACTTACAGATAAAAATAATCACTTAGCCACAACATCAGAGGAAAAAGCCAATATGCTTGCCCAAATGTTTTCCTCCAACTCCAACCTAACAGTGCCAAACGGAAAAACTCCACCGTTCATTGAAAGGGTTTCCCATAGTATGCCAGAGGTACCCTTTTGTCACAGAGAAATACGAAAATCCCTAAAAAAGCTGGATACAAACAAAGCAATGGGTCCGGATGGCATTCCCGCAATAGTACTCAAAAATTGCGCCAACCAACTCGCCCCAACTTTCGCAAAATTATTCAATTTTCTTACAGGCAAGGAGTATATCCATCATCATGGAAGTCTGCCGCAGTACAACCCATTCCAAAAAAAGGAAAAAAGACAGATCCGTTAAACTATAGACCAATTGCTCTACTTCCGGTGATATCAAAAGTAATGGAAAGAGTTGTGAACAATCACCTAACCAAGTACTTGGAAAAGTACAAAATTATCAACGATAAGCAATACGGATTTCGAAAATATAGGTCAACTGGCGATTTACTTACATATGTCACTCACTTATGGCAAAAAGCGATTGAGTTGCGGGGTGAAACAAGAACAATTGCCTTAGATATATCTAAAGCATTCGACAAAGTTTGGCATGAAAATCTGCTCAACAAGCTCAAAGCAATGGGATTATCGCCGAAACTTTGCACTTGGTTTGAAAGTTACCTAACGGACAGATCCATTTATGTTGCACTGGATGGCCAGAACTCCAACTCTTACCAAATAAATGCTGGTGTGCCACAGGGAGCAATCCTTTCGC